GCTGTGGAATATTGTGCAGAAGTTCTGGCCAATATCCAACCTGAAAATTATTATTCGATAGTCATACCGATAAGTATAACTCAAAACAAATTCAGTGGACTTCACATATTGGTTTCTGGTAGGTTTGTACTGGTACCGTTTTATTTCCCGTTGTTCATCGTTGATTTTTTACAATAATTATCTAAGTAATTTTAAGAATTACTACAAGGGTGATTACCGGAAGTTTGTTAACTTTGAAATGAGAATTTTCGACAGGAACACCTTATAGTTGTCGAAAAAGTCTTGTTCGACTGCCCAGAGGGTCTTTCTGTTTGCCTTCTGCCTGGCCTAATCTTCATCCATGCCTTCGTTGACGTACTTGTCATATTTTTCATCCCTCATCTCCCTATGTATTTCTCTAGCTTCAGCCAGCCAATCTTGGTAGGCGGCATTGTCTTCCAAATCTGAACTGTGTTCATCTGAGGTTTGGTCATCGACCTCCTCAACAGAATCCGAGTTTTCGCCAGCTTCATTCATGTCTGATTCCTCCTCAACATGGATATTTTCCATGTGCCTCTCTAGATTAAACTTCCACCCGAAGTATTTGTTACACTGGTGACAAGCATAGGGCTTGGCTGTATAAATACATGTACCATTCATGTTGACTCTGCGAAGGATGACCTTAAATGACACGAAACAAGTGAAAGCGTTCCGTATTTCCTAAATATACACGTATATACTGCTTCTGATTTGCATATTTCATTGTTTATTTTTTCATTGTTTTATTGCTCAAATTGGTCTTTTTATCGCTCAAACTGCTCTACATGAATGTGTTGCTCTTTTACTCATTTTATTACTCTTTTGTTCTTTTCATTGTTCAAACTTTTCTTTTTATCGTTCAAATTTATTTTTTGTGGTGCAAATTAATCCTTTCATTGTTAAAATATATTCTTTTCATTGCACAAATGGATCTTTTATTTTCATTGTTCAAAATAAACTTCATATTTTTCAATTGGTCTTTTTATTGTATAAATTGGTCTTTATAATGTATAAACTGCTGTTTTTATTGTTCCGCAAATTGCTCCGTTTATTGCTCAAATTGTTCTTTTTATTGAGTTTTTCATTGTATACATGTAAATAATGCTCTTTTTATTGTTCAAATTGGCCTTTTTATTGCAGGGGGAAGTACATGTAAATGCCAAACCTACACAGTCCAATAAGATTACCAATGAGATTTTTATCGAGTTTAAAAATGTTTGAAATAACACTACCAACATGGGTCTTTGGGCCGAAATGCCAAATTGCCTCAAATCACCAGATAATTAGTACATTAGTACATGTATACATGTAATGTGTATGTAAGTTTCATGCATACTTAAATATTCAGTATAAGAGGGCAAGACCAATAGCAAAAAGTTACAATGTTTGTAATACCAACGTGTACCCACCAACCTGAAAAATTTTGCAAGATGTTGCCATATTCATTTTTTATTCTTTTTAATCCTGTTTTGGGTCTTTTGGCTTATGTTGTCATTTTTTGCAAGAATTAAACAAGATGCCCATTCTGTTATGAGATAAAAACCTTTTACTACAAGTTAGTTTGCTTAAAGTTTTAAGTACAGGAATCTGGCTTTGGCAACTCCGCTATTTTTGGAATCGACTCCAACTTCAAGCAGGAACCACAATTCCGAAAGGAATTGACTCTAAATTTCACAAGCAAATATTGTTCAGCACTGCATACTCAAGAACTTATGGTTACAAATTTCTTGCCAACAATGCATTTTCATAATTTCATTCCTTCCTCTGATGTCAAATGATTATTCATGGGCTAAATTCACCAGCAACAGACATGCATGGGCAACAGACAGGCCATGTGCACTATACCCTAAGATAACATTGAGTACCTTAGATCCGACAGAAAAAGCTGCCTCTGTGATGTGTATGATGTCACTGTGTAAGCAAAGTCCTAAAAATTAGAAAAGGCTTCTTGGACAAAGTGCCACAGCCAATGGCACGCAATCTTTCTCTGGAGTTAGGCAGGATTTTCACTCCATGGGCAGCTTTCCATTTTTATTAACATACAAAACAAGCAGGAAGGCAGCTAAGTTTTGTGCCATTACTAGTAGTGTGCTGTGAAACCCAGATAAAGTCAGTGTTCTCAAAAACTCGTATGATTTCTGGAGTCTGGCAAATCTTCAAATGATTGGCCGTTGCCTGGATTCAATTTGAATCGAGCAGGAATTTGCTGCCTCAAAAAGTCGTCTGTTTTAAATGTTGGAATTGTAATTCCGATTCCAGTTTTGGAGTTGATTAGGGTCAACTGCCCGTATTCACCTTAAATAAGAAGCACATTTAAGTGTTGTGTAAGGATGGGAAACATTGGTAAACATGAAGCAAAACGTCCACGTACCATTTAAATGTTTGGCAAGTTTGGGCTGCCGCCTGGCCCGGTATACGATAAGAGGTTATTGAGTTTGTACACATATAGTAAAACAAATAAAGACAAACCTTGACACCTACTTTCACACGGTTTTTTGAAAATGTTCATCAACAATTTATGAATTCATTTAAGCAATTAGTAGTGAGTGATTAATTGCTGCTCTTGATACTACCCATGATTTCTAACAAATGTTTTATGCATGAACAAAAGGCTTTGTACTACATTGAAATCACAACAATACAAGGTCCCCTTTTGAAAATCTTAGCTCTGTTTAAACACTTTGGCAAATTTGTAAATAGATTTTGATATTTTCTCATTTAAACATCACATCCTTAGTGTTGTTTGATGCTTTGTAAGATGGTGTGTTTAGTCAGTGGAATTAGCTTGTAGGCACACCATGGGAAATGTCTGCTCAATGGAAAAGTAATACGTCTGAAAAGAATCAGTTGTAAGAAAGGATCTTAAAGCTTAGATCATCATACGCTGTTTGTTTTTAGGACAAGATGTAGAGGTCATACTATTTAAAAAGTCAAGATCCATTCTCAAACTGGTTCTTTTCAGACTCAACACTTTCTCTCAATATATTTCAATGGTAGATGTATGTACCCACAAACTTTACTAGTTCAAATACATTCAAGAATTTTCATTGCATGCACATGTTGTGCTATAGGAAGGTTACTGAAGATAAGTTCCGTTAATTTCAATTCTATTTTCTAACATTAGGAGGAAAAAAAAGAGTCGACCAGCTGGTGCACATAAGGGTTCTGAATAGATGAATAGGGATTCAGACTGTATGCCTGAAGGTCCTGAATAGATGAATAGGGATTCAGACTGATACTTTAAGGTCCTAAATAGATGAATAGGGATTCAGACTGTATGCCTGAAGGTCCTGAATAGATGAATAGGGATTCAGACTGTATACCCGAAGGTCCTAAA